TCTTCCAGAAGGACTAAGTCCTCTCCTTCCTTCACACTTCCCATGGCCTCCATTGGGCTGCTGTGTGTAGCTAGTAAGAGAGTCAAAAACAAGCTGGCCTCTACTTCTAGATGCCAGAGCAGCTGCTTAGAGGCTGGAGGGCTTCCTGTTGCTAGAGACATGAAATACACTCGGCGAACCAGAGCCAAATCAAAACCATATGGTTTGCTTTGCAGTAAAGATCACAGGGACAGAACAATTAGAGGAAGGAGGGCCAGCCAGGGGGCAAGCTTTTGGGGATGAGGGATGTGTGTCCACCCCAATTCTGACAGCCCTATACTCCCAAGTGAGGCAACCCTCCTGCCTAAGGAGCCTCCTGTCCTTGGGCTGCTGGCTCACCTGGACTCTCTTCTGGACTGTCTTCTGACTCTTTCTGGGGAAAGTTCAAACACTAAACGCTAGAAAAAATATTGTACCTACTCCCTGGAACATCGGCATCCCCTAAGGCCTCCTGACCAGATGTCCCCCAAATGAAAACCATCCCTATTTGTTTTTTCCTCTAATGAACTGATACAACTTGTATCTTGGAAATATCAAACAAGCAGTCCCTTACCCACTTGTTTACTGTGTATTTAGAAAGGGCAAGTTTCTTTTCAAGGGAGTCTTGAATTCTGAGGTAGAATCCACAAACATTAAAAAGAAATCCATCCTGGGCCCTCCCTGGTGGCGCAGCGGGTTAGAGCACAGCACTGAGAAGCTAGAGCCACTTCCGTATGGGTTCAATCCCTGCCTACCCCAGAGGTGACCCACATGGCGCGGCAGACCTCTCCTGACCCGCCCGCTGCTCCCCTCAGCAGTGTACTTCCTTGATCTGCCTGTTCTGCTCCCCACTCTGTCCCTGGTGAATCCTCTCACCCTCCACATCGCTGGTCTGTACCCCAGTTCTGTATGAATAAATAAATAAATCTTTAAAAAAAAAAAAAAAAGAAATCCATCCTAAAAACTTCTTGAAGGATAGCCTACATGGACTCAGCATGGAAGCCTAGATTCAGATCTGCCTGAAGACTTTAAATGGATCCTCCTTGCTGATGCATGAGATTGTTTATGGGAAGTTGGGGAAAAGGTGTTGTGTTCCTGGAACTTGATAGCCAACAGGACCTTCTGCCCAGCAGACCAAGGCCAAGGCACTTGAAGAACCTAATTTTTTTTTTAAGATTTATTTATGCATACAGAACTGGGGTACAGGCCAGAGGTGCAGGGGCGGTGAGAGGATTCACTGGAGACAGAGTGAGGAGCTGAATAGGCCGACTGACGAAGTACACTGCTGAGGGGAGCAGCAGGAGAGGTCTGCCGGACCATATGGGTCAGCTCTGGGGCAGGGATCGAACTCATGCTGAAGTGGCTTTAGCTTCTTAGTGCTTTAACCTGCTGTGCCACCAGGGAGGGCCCAAAGAATCTAATTTTTACTACCACCTGCTGCCTCTCTGCTTTTCTCATATCAAGCCATTGTGTCAGTGACTCCATGCAAAAGATGGCATTTGTGGGAAAAGATCTATGTTCCCATGTCCCATGTCCACTCAGCAGAGTTTGGGGCAGATGCCTTTGCTATCAGGCCCAGGCCAACCCAGAAGTGGGAAGAATATGTCAGGCAGTCCTTTGCTATAAAAGGAGGTAGAACTTCAATTCTCAGAGCAGAAAGCTTGTTTCATAAGCTTCTCCCTTAACCTCTTCACTCAGGGCAGTCTGTAGGATTCTGGGTCATGGAGAAAAAATCAAAGAGAAAAAAAAAATAAGCCTATAAACATGGGATCTCCCTAACTTTCTTTTGCAGGTATTTTCTTGGATGGGAAGGGAATTCAAAATCTGATAAAGAAAATGGCTTTCTTGCTGGGCTGCTCTGGAAAGTAAGTATTCACCAGGTTGAGGGTAATAAGTGATTTGAGGGTGAGACTTAGTCTTAAGTTTCCCAAAGTTGCTAGGGTAACCACTCCCCTTACTCTCAAGCCCTCTGACTTGTGCTCTACTGTATGCTAAGGTCAGAGCAAGGAGCTAGGCCTCCAAGACTTTGGCTCCAAACAGGTCCCTCAATTGTAGCTATCAAACACATGGTCCTGGCTCTAGAAGCTTAAACTGTGAACTCACAAGAGATCTGGAAAACCTGGAGGTGGGGCTCTCCCTGGGGGTGCAGTGGGCTGCAGTGGCCATGGCCGCTTCAGTGTGAGTTCAATCCTTGTCCCTGGAGGTGACCCAGATGGTGCAGCAGACATCTCCTGACCCACCCACTGCCTCCCTCAGCAGTGTACTTCCCAGACTGCTTGATCTGCTCCCTGCTCTGTTTCTGGTGAATTCTCTCACCACCCCTACAGCTCTGGCCTATACCCCAGTTCTGTATGCATAAATAAATAACCTTTAAACTTTTAAAAAAAGAAAATGAGCTAATGATTAAAAAAAAAGAAAGAAAATGTGGAGGTAAATTTTGTTTCTCATCTGATGTTATTTCTTATTGCCTTTTAATGATTACACACAGAACCCAAGAAACTGGCTAATTTGGTTAAGTTCAACAGGGACATTGCGGGTTAAAGTTCAGTCTTGTCAACAGCAGAAACAGTATTAAACTTTTAAATAAGCTTCCCAGAGCAGGTTGCGCATGGCTAGGTTGACAGGATTGTTTTGAAGGTTTTAATCATGTTTTATATCTACCTATATTTCTATTTTTATGGACCCCTAGCTTATGTATGCTTCACAATAATACTGTGCTTTGGGCCTCCCTGGTGGCATAGGGGTTAAAGTCCCAACACTATCAAGCTATTGCCAGTCACTATAGCATGGTTTGATACCCGGCCAGGGAGCTGACCCACATGGTGCAGCAGACCTCTCCGGTCTCAACCTGCTGCTCCCCTCAACAGTGTATTTCAGTCAATCTGCCTGTTCTGCTCCCCACTCTGTCTCTGGTGAATCCTCTCATCTCCCATACCTCTGGCCTACACCCCAGTTCTTGTGTGCATAAATAATAAAAATAAATCTTTTTAAAAAATACTATGCTTTGGAAAGGGAAAGTATGAATATTGCTTTTTAATATGTGGGTGAGGAAACAAACACAAAGAGATTGAATGATTACCCAAACTTATCTAGCTCTGTTGTTGCCAGAATCAGGATTAGAACACTGATCTTCTAACTTCCAGCTCTGTGTTTTCTTCATCATTTCATCTTTTAAAAAAATGTTATTGAAGTAACATCGGTTTATAACCTCACAAGATTTCAGGTACACAGCATGGTGATTCAGCCTCTGAATATGTTCCATTGTGATCCCCACCAAAAATCTAGTTTCTATCCACCACACAGGATTCACCCTCTTTACCATATTACCCACCCACCAACCCCTTTCCTCTTCAGTGACACCACTTTTCCCTCATAATCTAAGAGTTTTTGTTTTGTTTGTTCATTTAGTTTTTTTTAAGCTTCAGGCGTACAGCATCTTTATATACTGCATTATGATCACCACTAAATATTTCCTTTTCATCCAACACCATATAATTGTCCCCGAAGGGTTCAATTACCTGTTTTAACCATAACCACTATTCTGTTGTCAGAATCGAAGTGGTTGTTTTTGCTTTTGCTTTGTTTGTTCATTTGTTTTGTTCCTTTATCAGCCACATGAGGGCAATCATGTGGCATTTGTCTTCTTCCGCCTGACTTATTTTACTTAAAGCAAATGTGCTTTAGAAGGTTTCAGTAACCGAGATACTGGGCAGCCACTGAGCCCCTTGCTTGGGCTCCCCTTACAATCGTGGCATCTTCTTCTTTCGCATGGATCCTCCTCTGCCACAGTGTGCTCAGCCACGTGCATATCAGTTCTCCGCCAGGGCCTGTACATGTAATTATTGCAATTCATTCCCATATCTCCACCACGGATACTACTCAGCCACATTACTGATAAAGACACGGCAGCTCAGAGAAGGAGATAAATTAGCTCCGTCATTTAAGTGGCTGTAACAGCTGAACCCAGGTTTTGATACTCATGTCTTCTTCCTGCTATACCCTTGGTGGCCAGAAATATGAGTCATAATAGGAATCAAATACATATATCCTCAAAATATAAGTGGTTCGTGGACTTTGCTTGCATGAGGCAAATCCTAGGACTGCGATGTAATGCAGTCCCGTAGAGAACCTCCAGTGTCTCCAGCAGAAGCCAATGGCCTTCCCATGAGCTGCCCCCAGAAGCACGGGAGCATGCTTGCTGCCATGTCCTGCCCCACCTCCTCCTGCTAGGGGTTTTTCTCACAGCCACATCAGCTTGATCAGCTTGACAGCCTGTTTAAACCAAGTTGCAGTAACCGGCTGCACAACTTCATTCTCTTGTGGGCTGAGCCATTGGCTTCTGCAGACTTGGGAAGAGGGAATCATTAGCCGAAGCTTTCAACAACCAGGGGGTCCAGAGAGGTATGTAATAAATTCCATCCAGATGTTGAGATTCGACTTTCTTTATTCTCCTTTTTTTTCCCCTTTTTCTCTCTTTTTTCAATCACATTCAAAGCTCAAACAAGTTGTTTTCACCTTATCAAGCAAGGTGGGAAGAATATTGCTTCCTGTATTCCCTGGGAGAGGCTGTACCAAAGGATTCAGAGAGCTAACAGCATCTGGGTAATTCAGGGTGGCATCCAAATTAACAGAGAACACTCTGTGCACTTGACAGAATCACCCAGATAGGTAAGTGGCCTTGCAAGCACTTCAGCAAAATCCAATTAGAGGCTTCCAAATTCATCCTGATTTACAACATCCTCACCATTTACTTTTGGTAGAGGCAGCCGATTATCTGTTTTGAAATCCCCAGAAACTGGTTGAACGAATAGCTGAGTGTACATCTGACTTTATTACAGAGGAAAAAGCAGACCTTGCCATATGAACTAAATTTTGTCTCATGACATCTGAGCAGACTAGACGGTCTGGCAACTTCATTGTGTTGTATGGATCAAGCCCTTAGGTAACTCACAAAAACTCCCCTCCGGCAGTCCAGGCTTTCCTGGGGTTAATTCTTGCTGTGGCATTAGAAAGAGGAATAGCAGATCTTCCCGAGCTACAGCAGCACTGACATCCCTCTCACCCCACACCTGATTCCCTTATTCCGGGAGGAAAAGCCTGAGTAAAGGCAGGTCTGCAGCAGAGACCAGTCTCTCTGACAGGGGCTAACTCTTAACTCCAGAGCTGTGGGCGCTGAACGAGAAAGCAGTGTGAGAAGAAAGACCATCGTTTAAGTGACCATGGGAAATGGGGAACTGGGAAGAAAGAACCTAACTTTTCTGCCTTCAAAAAGGTGAGTTTTGCAAAGTTCGTCTTTTCATGGGGACTGGTGAGTCTGAAAACTTAGTCCTTAGTCTACTGGAACAGAACAAAAGAGTCTCACCTACTTACTAGATTAAATAAACAAGCCGGAAAACAAAAAACAATGTCGAGGTGTACTTGCGGAATCCCTGCTTCCACTTGTAGCTCCCTTTAAACAATTTTTGTTTTGTTGCTTTTAAGTTTTGATTAAAATCGGCAGTGGAAAATATGTCTCAAAGGGGAAGGGAAAAAACCACCCAACACACTTCTGTGCCTTGTATTTTGACCCAGCCCACAAAATAATTAGAGGAGTCTTTACAGACCCACCAACGGATCCCAGGATTCCTCTTGAGAACCACTGATCTCAAAAACAGCATTTTGATCTCAGAACCCTTATTTTGACTTGGAATTACCTGTTATTGACCACAGAGAGCTGTTATTGACGATCCCTGGAACAGGGCCCTGTGCAGTGAGAGGTGAGACTCAGCATGGAAAGGCGAAATCTTTCTCTTTTTCTGTTTCTCAGCGGCTGTTTCAGTGCAGCAAGCTATCTTTGCCATAGTAAGATAGCTGTGGTCTTAATTTCTTCTTCTTTATCATCTTTTAGTTTGTTTCTTCTGTGGTAAAAAAAAAAAATTTCCCCTAGCCCTCGGTGAATAGAATGATTTTTGCCTAGAGTACTTTGCTAACAGGAGTTTTCGAATCACATTTTCTTACTCAGGTGCAGGAATTTCCTAAATATTTAAGAACCTAAATTGTAAAAGGAGCTGGCTATTGTGCTTGCCTTGTAGATAGGTAGTCGAGATGTCCCAGAGAAGCCTGAAGGGCTGCACCAAAAAGCAGAGCTCTGTTGAGCTACGTGTAGGAAAGGAGAGCCCTCACGGAGGGAGCGGCCATGTTGCAGAGAGCCGACAACATAGGCAGTGTGAAGAGCCAGTCCGGGACGTACTGGAACCGTTCCCCGGAAGAGCGAACTGAGAAGTCTTCCAACCAAGCTGAGCTCTGAGAATGAGGTGGTTCATTTGGTGCAACTGTGCTTTGAAAGTAAAGGAAAAGATTCTGACTCCCCTTGAAGATGGAGAATGTCTGCGTCTCCTGCGTTGAGCCACCGGGATCCCATTAAGGATAGAGGTACTGACACTGAAGGCTTCACTTTGGGCACAGCCCTCAGCAGGGTGGCCCCAGCAAAGATAATTACAGGGATGGAGGGCCCATTACAGCTTTTTGATTTGGTCGTTCCAATATCCTGTCAGATATAGAAAGGAGACCAATCCCTCACCTCAAAAGAAGTAAATTGTAGGGTGAAGTATATGGTTTAGTCTCCGTCAGGTTGAGCCTTTGAAAAAGCAGATCTGTGGGTCTAGGACACCACATCCTGGATTTCTATTGCTTTGAAATTCTGAAATTCAGGACATAGGAATTGTATAACTCAAATTGAGATAATCAGTCTTAACCTGACGGTTTTGCAATTAAGTATGGTTACCCTCATTTTGTATAAGTGATTCTGGGTTGGAATGCAGTCTGGGAAAACGGCTGTTTCTGGTTCTTCAAGACAGTCTAAATCTCTAAAGTTAAAATGACATAAAAAAAAAACTTGCTGTTTCTGCATTCTATCATGAATATTTCTTCCAAACATTTGTGTATGTGGGTGAACATTCTAGCAAAGATGCTGTTTTAATCTGGTGTAGGAAAGGGAAGGAGCCAAGTGCTTATAGAACAGAAATAGGAAACAGGAGCCAAAGTGATAGGATTGGGGTGTGTGTGTGTGTGTGTGTGTGTGTGTGCGTGTGTGTGTGTGTGTGTGTGTGTGTGAGAGAGAGAGAAAGAGAGAGAGAGAGAGAGAGATCTTTAAGAAAAGAAAAAATATAATTGAAGAGAAGATGCTGTTTGTTAAACAGTGATCTGAGAGAAAACCAACTTCAGTTGGGTTGAGAAAATTTATTCAGATTCTGGGGAGGAAATTGAGAAGCACTCTGAAGTTAAAGTCTGTATCCAATTTAAATACCTGTGTAGCTGAGTTTGGAGGCCAGAATAGTCCCTAGAGCCCATAGGCGTCTGTATTTTGCTCATAGGGCAGCAAGCTTGAACAAAAAGAAGAGGAGTGGTGATGTTGCAGGGGAAGAGTTCCGTAAGCCCCTCTCAGTCAGCTATAAATTGCCTACTAGACAGCCAATTCCATCTGTCCACCAAATCCTTGCTTACCGATTTCTTTATATGTGGGTGTATTTTTGCTTATAGCAAAATTCAAAGCATTCTAAACTGCTATCTGAAATATTGTTTACAAGATGAAAGGATCAGAAATGTGACTGCTTAGAAATAGCTATAGTCTAACGGACCACCCTTCCTTATGCTTATTCCTGCGCTCAGTTGCCATTAGGGCTCATTCAGTACAATACAGGGGAGCAGTGGTTATCTAAAATTACCTCCTGATGTCCTCTTCTTGCATTCCTTTACATGTGCTTCCAGGGAATCGTGTGTAATGATAGCTGATAGGATTTTCTGCTTTAAGTCAATTCAACTGTGAAATAAATATAGAAGACCATCCCCATTTTTAGCATTATAAAAACTTGAGGACACAGAGGAAAATTCGCTGAACCTTAGTGAAGACATTTCCTACTTGGAGCTGAGCGGCAGGGCCGTGGCTTGCAGGAGCAGCAGGCCCTCATGCACAGAGCTTGGGAGCAGGAGTCAGGAGACCAGTTTCTGGTCTTAGACCTGCCTGAGGCCACGGCCCATGAGGCTTTAATGCGGTCCTCGGCAGCTCACTGCTTTAGTCTTCCTCTGTTCAGCAAGTGGGCATACAAAGACTAGCCTCCCCTACTTGCTTGTAGATAAAATGACAAGTTGCTTGTAGAGAATATGACAACAAGAAGGAATAGGTTAGAGAAAGAAAGTTTGTTGTGATACACAACTTTTTCACTCAGCCGCTGATTTTTTAAAATCTTCATTCCCTCTCCCTTGGAGTCCTGAATGGTCTGGACACACTTGCATAGTATTTTAAATGACGTTTTATTGAATAAAAGTCTTTAACTCAGTAGGATATTCACTACGCAAAACACCAGAAACCAGATCTAGAAATAGACATTCACACCCAGAAGCCCCTTCATACCCTTAAATCTTTCCTCCCAGAGGTAATTTCTTTTTTTAAAAGATTTATTTATTTATGCATACAGAACTGGAGTACAGGCCAGAGGTGAAGGGGCAGTGGGAGAATCCACCAGAGACAGAGTGGGGAGCAGAACAGGCAGATTGATGAAGTACACTGCTGAGGGGAGCAAAGGGGGTACAGACCTACAGGAGAGGTCTGTTGAATCATATGGGTCACCTCCCCAGCCTGGGGTTGAACTCAGGTCAGAGGTGTCTGGGGCCAGCTTCATAGTGCTGTACTTTAACCTGTTGTGCCACCAGGAAGGGTCCTCCAGAGGTAAGTTCTAACACTATAATTGAGTTTCACATGTTTGGGGCTTAATATATTTGTGTATGTACTCTCGTGTGTGGCATCTTTTGCTGAATATTAAGTTTGTAAGATTATTGCATTAGTAATACTTTGTTTATTCTCATTGCTATCTAGTGTTTTATGAGTTAACTTACCACACTTTATCCATTTCCTTATTGATAAACATTTGGGTTGTTTTCACTTGGGGCTGAATGTTCTCCAGTAGTTTTATTTGATGTACACATAACTGTTTCTACTGGGATATCTAGAAGTGGAATTAATATTTTGAATAGCTTTCATTTCACTTTATTGCCTAATTGTGGTGAAAATGAACACCACTATTTTGTTCCTGGTTTTAGAGGAGAAGTTTTCAGTTTTTCTCCATTAATTATGATGTTTGTTGTAGGTTTGTCATATACGGCCTTTATTAAGTTGAGGTGCATTCCTCCCGTACCCACATTATTGAGAGTTATAATGGAATGAGATTTGTCAGATGCTCTTTATGTATCTATTGAAATGATCATATGACTGCTATCCTTCCTTTTGTTGATGTGATGTATCACATTAATTGATTTGTGCACGGGATACTTGTATTCCTGACATGATATACATTCCTGGCACTTGATCATGGTGTGTATTCCTTTTAATAAATGGTTGAATTTGGCTTGCTAATATTCTGTTAAGGGTTTTTTTTTTCACCTTATGTCCATTAGGACTATTGTTTTCTTTTTGTGATGTCCTTGTCTGTGTTTGCTATCAGGGTGATGTTGGCTGGTGTGTTTGGAAACTTTCCCTCTTCTTCAGTTTTTGGAAGATTTTTGAGAAGAATAGGTATTAGATCTTTGAAATTTTAGTAGAGTTACTAGTGAAGTTATCTGGTCCTACACTTATGGGCTTTTGTTTATTTCAATTTTCTTATTTACAATTGGCTGTTCAGGTTTTCTGTTTGTTCTGGTTCAGTCTTAGATTGTACAATTCTAAGAATGTGTCCATTTCTTTTAGATTGTCCAGTTTGTTGGGATATAGGTGTTCATGATAATTGCTTGTGATATTTTTAATTTCTGTGATATCTGTTGTAATTTCTCTTTAGTTTCTGATTTTTTTTTTTAACTAGAGATTTCTGTATCTTCTTTGTAAGTCTGGCTAAAGTTTGTTTTCTTTGATCTTTTGTATTGTTTTTTGTCCTCTATTTCATTTATTTCCACTCTGATTTTTACTATTTACTTCCTTTCACTGACTTTTGGTTTCATTTCTTTTTCTTTTACTATTCCTTTTAGCATAAGGTTAGATTGTTTCTTGTTCATAACAACTATTTTGAATTTTTTATCCATTAGATGACAGTCTTCTGTCTTCAAGTTTGGCTCCTGGAAAATTGTCAATTTCTATTTGTGATGCCATGTTACACTGCAGGTTTTACATTGCTTCATGGTATGTCCCTCTGTCTGTACCTTTGATGTATCTAACATCTTATTTATTTTTTGTCAAGTTTTGTTTGCTTTAATTATGATTCAACAGTTTAGTGACTATACACCATTCTTTTTTCCTGTAGTTTGCAA